TTTTTTTAAGAACAATAGCTTCTGGCTAGAGCCAAGCTGCACTCCACTCCAGTTCAATCGATTCTAATTCCGTGTTGATAGGAATCTAAAGATTGCTCATGCAGCTTTTTCCTTCAGAGACAAGCCTGTAAAGCCTAATGTTTAATGATGTCATATGGATCCATGTGGAGGTATTCTAGCTGCATTACTAACCATGTTAATAAATGGCTTGTTTTCAGTTTCTGTTTACTTAATACATTGGAGTCACTGACTTGTATCCATTTGTCTATATTCTATTTTAAATCAGTTTCTTCTTTGTTTGGGTAAAACCATTTTGTAGCTAGGACATCTGATGCTGACTATGTGGAATAAATTGGCAAGAAAAATGCACACATTTGCGTAAATATCTTTGTGAAGACACTGACTGACCCTCACGCTAATCCTAACATAAATATAACATTAAAACCAGTTCTTCACCCTCAAGCAGGCCTTTAAAGAGATGAGATGTAAGGACTAACCAAAAGGTCCCCACTTTTTCAAAATGTCCTGACTGCATTGGTTTTAAATCTCAGACTGGTCCTCATTAGGATGCTTTGACAAGTACACCTTGAGGTGTGTCCCATCATCCAGACCCTAGAGATATTTAATTAAATGGAAGATGGAGAGGCATATATCAGGTACTTTTTCTGGTCTTATTGAGCACATTCACTCACACAGCTTCATTCTAGAGTCACTGCTTTGCAAGACGGTCCTGGGCATTACCATAGACTAATCTTCCTACACAAGCACAGGGAGAACGTGCAAACTTCTCACAAGAAGGGCTTACTCGGGTTTGAACTCAGGACTCTTCTGCTGTGATCCACTGTAATGCCTCACATTTTAATCTTCCACAGACTCTCGCACTAATATCTGAGAGACTGCATATGGAGCACTGAACAGCATAATTAGCAGCTCAGAGTAAAAGTTGTCTTCAGAATCATTCAAAAAATTACTTATTCATTTTATGCTTTGCAACGTTTTACCAATGTGAATTGGTCTTATTTGTGATCTGAGCTCGAGACAGCAGACAGCCACCACAAGCAGTTTCGCTAAACAGTGAGAGTATTTCAGGCATGAGTGAGGTAAGCCTGTACTGCATTTTGAGAGTGTAATGTGAAGATCTTATTTTTGTGTCCCACGTCAGTATTGGGTAATAATTCTTGCATGTGAGCGGATTATTTTTTCCCCTGCAAGGTGTAAATCTACTGTGTGTTTCTTGGCTGGTGCTGTTAGAGGGTGGGGACAGGCCTTCAGAGATTTGTGCATAAATACACAACATCTGTGTATGTGTTGATGGATTTATTGACGGGGAAACCAATCACTCCTTTGACAATCTCACCAGCTGAGCGAGATGTAAATCAAATGGCTAAAGAACAGTTGCTGATGTTTAAAGGGTTTGGCTTTTTGTCAGCATTTCCTAGAAATGTGGGAGAGCTGTTGTGCCATAATATTTTCCACAGACTCTACGACAGTTCAGCATGTATTTGGTGTGTTTCAGAAATCAACAGGCCACCTGGCAACTTCCTCCTCACTTCATAGAAAAAGGCACACCTTTACGTGTTGCCATAACAAACACGGTGCAGATGACACCTGGGGAAGTGTGTGTTTTAGACCAGGAGGGGGATCAGCAATACATTTATGCATCGATGTTCAGCATGGTTGTACAAATCCAGTTCAGTTTTAATTTGTATAGTGCTAATTTACAAAAACAATCCAGTCAAGGTGGTTTTATAGTGCAATGTAAAGACCCTACAATCACACAACCTTCTATGAACAAACTCTTGGTGACAGTGGGAAGGAAGAACTCTCTTTTAACTAGAAGAAACCTCCAGCAGAACCAGGCTCGGGGAGGGGCTGCCATCCACTGCCTGGGGGTACCAATAGTAGCAAATAAGTATATCATTATAACAACTGATTGTAGATTTCAGCTTATTCTGTTCACTTACTGCAGGCATACAGCACAGAGTGCAAGCTGCAGACTGGTTGTGCTGGAGATTGTGCTCAACTTTGGTGGTCTGTAGAGTCCCAGAGTTTATTTAGCAATAGAGAGCTGTACACAAAAAGCAATAAATGCACTATACATAAATAAGTACAAGTGCATATAATGTCAGCATCACTAGTCTCATATTTCACCAAAACCACCAGGAGAAAAAGGAGAGGAAAAACCCAAGCTCAGCTCATAACAGGCCAGTCAGGTTAACATGCCTGCAATGACACTGCGTGAAGGAGGTACACCTGTTTTTACTACAGTGAAGCCTGAGGAAAAAATGAAGGCAATGCCGGATAGTCGTAAAATGCAATAATAACTCTCTTGTGCAAGCTTTTTGTGTCTCACCTGTATTGCTGTAGGACACGGGTGTGTTCTGTATGTCCTCAGTCTTTGACCACTGGCCTTTGTTTCTCTTCACAGGGCTGAAAAAACTGAGGTCCTGAGCGATGACCTCCTGCAGGTAAATCTTATCTTCTCTTGTTTAAAGCGACTTTACGTCCAATAGTTTTTATTATCTTTAAAAAATTCCATTTGGCAGTCTAATGAGGGGTGGGCAGGTGATAAGCATTTATCCTCAAATGTGAACAATGCTGTTTTTAATGGTGGTAACCGGGTAGAAGAATAATAAATACAAAGTCTAAATGTCATAGAAAGTTTTCTCACATCTGTGGTTTAAGAGACCTATATACTGGTGCAGCTGCTTATTTCAGCAAACTCAAGTTTATGCACATGTACAAAAACACCCTCAGGATGTGACACGTCTGAATGCTTTTTTTTAGTCCATCAGTTAAATGGCTACCAAGCAGAGTTATAATAGTTTTGTATTTTCTTATTAGTTTTTTTCTAGTTTTCATTTTCATCAGTTTGAAAATGTTTAGTTTTACTTTCATTTTTATTAGTTTTAGTGTTGATCCATAATGTGCTATAGTACTGTAAACATCCAGGGTCTAAATGAACATGTTTTCACATCTAGTTTAAATTTTTAGTTTAGTTATATGTAACTATAGTAACCTTGCTGCCAAGCCTACCTGAAAGTCAATGCAACCTTCTTTATTTAGAAAAAATGTAACAGTGCTTAAATGCAGTGAATTTGTCTGCATGATGTTTCATAGGCAACATTAACTCAACCACTCATTACGCCCAAGCTATGCAGAAAATCATCTCAACACACAAAACGTCAAACCTTGAAACGAATGGGCTACAGCAGCAAACCACACTTGTGTGCCGCTCCTCCTATGAGCTAACTGAAACTGAGGCTCTATCCTTCCTGCCTTGTATTAACAGTTCAGGCTCCTGGTGATGGTGTAATGGTGTGGAGGATATTTTCTTGGCACGCTTTGAGTCCCTATAGTAATGTCCATATGCGTAACACCATAGCGTATCTATGTCCTGTTGGCTGCTTCCAGCAGGATAACAGCAGGATAGCTGTGTCACAAAGCTTAAATCATCTAGTTTCTTATACATGACAATGAATTATGCAGTCACCAGATCTCAATTCAATAAAGCACCTCTGGGATGTGGTGAAACAGGAGATTCGCATCATTGATTTGCATGTGACAAAACTGTGTGATGCTATCATGTAAATATGGAACAAAATCTCTCAGAAATGTTTCCAGCCCCTAGTTAAACGTATGCCATGCAGAATAAATGTCATTCTGAAGGCAGTTTCTTAATATGACTTCACATTTAATTTTCCTCAAATCTGTTAGTCCAGTAAACTCCAGGGCCTCACTGGACTTTATTGTTGAACCCCTATAACAGTTCAGGTTTTGCCCACAGCACACGATAAAATATGTTTACACTGGGACTGGGTATCTGCCACCTATGAAAGATGTCCTGTTCACTGCCTAACCATAGCTTATTTTATGTCTGCATGTAAAACCGGCTTGTTTAGATATAATTTTCTGGTAGAGTAAAATACGGAAGTTATCAGAAGACTTACAAGCTCCTCGCAAAAGTTCTGTTAAAGCAATCGTGCCTTTGCACCTTGTTGATGCCAAATCTGTCTGCAGTCTCGGAGTATAACTGCTGCCATTAAAACTTTACTGGCTAGTCTTTCATTCAGCATTGCCTAGCCAGCTCAAGGGTTTGGCACAGCAGAAGCGCCTTATGGTTTTCCACTCAAGGCAAGCTCTGGTGATTCTCTGTTATCTTGAAATTATACTTGATGTCCACTGTAGCGCTGTGTGGCGGAGGGGGATGGGGAAGCTCTGGCTAGTGAAACTGTGAGATCACTGTTGGGAAAATGGTGTGAATAAATATGACAAACTGAGAGGAATAAATCATGTTCAGGGAAGAAAGCAACTTTTGTGGAAGAAGGTAAAGATGAAGGCTTGATGGGGGAAAGACTCACCAACCCCCATTCTGTCAAGGAAGTCATAGTTCTATGATAGTTAGCAGCTGACCGCTGAACCCCATTCACACAAAGTAGTGCATAAGACGCATTTCTGATTGATCATCGACCTGCGACCTAGGGTGCCCTGTGCACTCATAGAACTCACTTATGATGGAAGATGGTGTTTTTGTTATGGATAAACCATGATTGGCAAAGACATCAAATAACAGAGTGACAGGAGCTTTCTGCTGCGTTGGGCATTCCTTAAGCTCCGGCTCTCAGTAAGGAATGTAATTGGCAAACGACGAGCATAGTGGAAAACTCATGTCAGAATCTGTTCTTTTTTTGCAAATAACGAAGACCTCGTATATACGCAAAGAATCTGTTTTCAGATTTGCTGCCTGTTTAGTCATCTCCATACAATGTGTAGCTGCTGCACTACTGATTCACATAGCAGTGAATCAGTATCGCCATTGTAATTTAATCACACTGCCTGGAAAAGTTTTTTTTTCCCTCTTTCCAAACATGAACAGAGAGAGAATAATTTTTCCTTTCCCCCTCCCCACACTCTTCCACAATTGCCTTCCCTGAGAAGTTCAAATTGAAATTTGACTCTATATGACTTCTAGTCTTTTCCATTTTTCCATAGTCGTTTGCATTGGCTAAGGCATTCATCTTGTTTGGACACGTCCTGCTTCAGAGGGGGAGTTGAGGCGGCTGTCGGCCTGGATTGTATCTCTGCTGCCTGATCTCACACTAGTGAGCAAGGCTAGAGCTGGACCCATGCCTAAGTACCAAATTGGGGGCATGATGGACTGATAATTGATAACGTGTAACAAGCAAGTGGCTACCAGTGAAACGGCTGGTGAGGAAAAACAAAACTCAGGAGTCTCTGTAGAGAGTTCTCCAGCCGGTTGTCTTATCTTGGGATAAAAAAACTAAATTTTAAACAACTCCTTTACTATTTCATCACAAGCTAAATGCTGGAGGAAAACTGTCTTACCACTTTGTCATATTTCCAGTCTAACGTAAACAAAACCAGTTACTTACAGACACATTTAAAGGACAGACATGTTTTTCTCACATAACTTGTGAGACTACTCCTTTCAGTCAAACATGACACTTTGTTTTGTTTTTGCATTAAAGTCTCAATTCGGCTCAGTCATCAGCTCGTCGAATAGTAAACCGGCCTGCCAACAAGGTCAGCCACAGCGTCACCTGCCAGCCGGCAGTTAACCAGCCATTCAGTCCAATCCAGAAAACATGACTGCATCCTGTGTGACTCACTAAATGTTCCATGTTTTTTTTTTTTTTTTTTTTTTTTTTTTGTTATGGAAGGTCAGAGGTTGTCGGCTCTCTCTATTCTGATTTCATTGCTGTTTAGGGGGGAAAAGTTGGCAAGTAGACTGTAGGACTGTAAACCTTTGGACAGCAAGTAACTGCAGAGTGGAAGTGCTCATTTCTGTTGTGTTAATTGTCTGTGTGTGGGCTTGTTTCCGCCTATGATCAGGGAGTGTTCCTATCTTTTTTTTCTTTTTTCTTTTTTTCCAACTCTTATACTTGGAATCTCTCTGTTTCCTTAATGGTGGCTCTTCCTGATGATCCTACAAGTTTAAACCCTGAGACAAACTTATTAGATTTTGTTACCACACCATTTATTATTTTAATACGGTTCCAGCCCGCACATAGCTTGTCTCTGCTGTATTACCACTATAAAGAGTTAAAGATATGCACATCTCATTTATTTATAAAAAGACTTCAGAGGGCTGTATGAAAACACTTTGTCCCCCTTGGCAATTCCAACAATTCCAACTTTACCACTTGATGACTTAGGCATGCTACTGAAACCTCCATTTAATTCCAATATACTGTGTAAGTCAATTTGCAACCCACCACCATCATATCTGAATTAATAAATCCCATATCTGCTGTCCTTGATGCCTATTCTGTGCTGTAGGGAATCTTAGCAACTTCCTCTCATATTGTCGCAGTTCTGATTAGAGATGGACCGATCCGATATTACGTATCGTATCGGTCCGATACTGACGTAAATTACTGGATCGGATATTGGAGAGAAATAAAAAATGTAATCCCATCCATTAAATATCAAAAAGCACCTCACAAAACTTGCGACATGGCGTAACTCGGCTCATAACTGTAGCACGTTGCAGCAGTATGCGTCACGTGATAGAGCGGCTGTGTGTATTTGTAGCCTCTCTAGCAATGCGGCATTTCATCTCCGAGGAAGTTATCCCAGAGAGAAGTAAAGCAAGTGTGTAAGTTCATCTTAGGAGTGCCTCTTCTCCCTCCCTCTCCTGTTGCTACTTCAATCATGAAACTGATCCATGATCAGCTGATCGGCTTTTCTTTCGGGAGTCCGTCTCTCTTGTTTGTTTATTGCCCACTTCGCGCCAGAAAAAGGAAACCAGCGGCTTAACAACATCAGCACGTTTAACCTTGATAACCTTGTTAGAATTTATTTAATATTACTTTCTACACCAGGATCTTTTTCTACGCAGCTGACGGCTGGTAACTGTGCAGGGGCGGATCTAGCAAAGTTTAGCCAAGGGGGCCGATAGGGCATGAACAGGGAAAAGGGGGCACAAAGACATAATTTTCTTTCTTATTCTCATTTAAAATGTCAAGCTTTTAATAAATAATTATCTTACACCCAAAGTTTTAATCTGATGTAAAATGTATAAAAGTCCATTACTGTATATAGTAACTATTAAGTCTAATATACCCTAGTAAGCTATAGTACTTTATCCTTTGGGAAGGTACGATCTGTGCAGTCTGCAATTCTGTTGAAGAAAGATGTTGAATCTATTTAATTATTCTTGAAAAATGATTAATTTCTGTGCATTTTTTTTCCCCCCAACCTGCATCAAATTAAAGTTGATTACGTCAATTAAGCAACATGAGGTGGAGGGTGGGTGGTTCCCTATATATATTTTTTTTTCTTTGCTAGGAGTTTTAGAACCCTATTGGTTAGGTTGCTTAATATTTACGCTAAGTACTCTTTAAAATACCAGAATAGGGAGGATGGAGTAGGTTTAAGTTTATTAGACTGATCAGTATTGCTGAACTATGAAATATGTTGGGTGCGGAGTTTTGTTTTGTTTTTGCATACAGGTATAACAGAATAGCTTTAGTGTTTTTTGGGGTTTTTTTTTAACTTGAGTATGAACTTATAGAAAAAGCAGCAAAATATTAAAAAACACAGTTTTAGTGATTAAAAAACACACTATATCGGATTCATATCGGTATCGGACATAAAAAAAGTGGTATCCTGCCATCTCTAATTCTGATCAAGCAAAAGAAAAGTTTGTGGGGGTTTTGTGAAAAAACACTTTGCAGTTTATGACAAAGTATTTTATAGACAAGCTTGTAGAATATCTTGAAATCTGTCCCCAGTTTATTTTGGTGTGCTCTCACAAAAAAGAAGTCAATAAATAGAACCAAATGCTCTAATAACACTAGTACTGCGATTATCCAGTCTTTTCAGTCCACAATACCTCCCACTTTGCAGTCACTCAGGTCTTTTTCTTCCTTTCTGGCCAAAAGTGTTGGAAGTCTGGATGCAATTGAATTGGAATCAGCTGAATAGTGAGTGAATCAATTGGATCCAGGCAAGGAAGCCAAGTCCAGATGTGGTTTGGCATGCTGCAACAGCTGCAGGAAAGGAGGAGCAGAGTAAAGGGAGGGTGGAGTAAAGCTGCATGAGTGTATGGGAGAGACTCAAACAGGGCAAGGAGATCAGTGAATTTGGGAGGATGAAAACAAAGGAAGAAGATGGGATCAGACAGCAAATGAGCAGCTCTCAGATCTAGCGCTGCAGCTAAATGTTTATACTGAAACGGGAAGAGGAAGTGGATACTTATGGCAGACCATGTTGGTGATTATGCAAGCTTCAGCAGATTTTTTTTTTTTTTACTTCACATAACTGCTGATCATTTAGAGAGTAAATTCTCTCTATAATTGCCTCTTTAGCAGACTTTTCAAACCCACATCTGGAAGAGTCAGGAACTAAAAACTCAGCAGAGCACAGTAATTCCCACAACGTCACTATAGGTACCTGGAACTCTGCACTGGTGGTGCATTTGAGGACAGTCTGATAGAGAGTTATTGGGCCAGTTATCTATACCAAGTGATATAAAGTTCTCCTTTTATGTTTGTTAATTTCTTTGTTTGTTAATCACTAATAATAGTAATTGTAATAGTAACTGTAATAATAAAATTGTATCCACTACAAGTTTCTAAGCAGATTTTCCAGAAAATGTATTGAATGCAAATGTGTATTTGTCTGTGGGAGATTTACGTCCTAACCTCTACACGGGGGATACCAAGGCGTTCCCAAGCCAACCGAGAGATGTAATCTCGCCGCTGTGTCCTGGTTCTTCCCAGTGGGACATGCCTGGAACACCTCACCCAGGAGACATCCTGGTCAGATGCCTGAACCACTTTAGCTGTCTCCTTTTCTACTCTGAACTTCTCACCTCATCTATAAAGCTTTATTTAGACTTCTGTGGGAAATTTACGTCCTAACTTGTGTAGTAACAAAAAACTCCTTTTATCCCCAAACGGCAACATTCCACGCAACCCAAGTGTTTTGTGGAGTGTGTCGAGCCGATGCGTAGTCACAGTTCTCGGGATGGGCACATCAGGTTACTTAGAAGGTTGTGGCGTAGGGCTAAAATGGGGTTCTGGTTGTGGTGTAAGTTTCGACATAGATCTGGCGCAGAAATATAACTCATTTCCGCCACTTGTATCCACAATCAAGTAAGATTCTTGGTCATTTCCCAGAGTATGTGACAATAGGTGAAGGTGTGAACATTGATCGACCAATAAATCAGCTTGGACTCTCTCTTCACCACAACAGACAGGTACGGCGTCTGTATCACTGCAACTGAACAAGTCTTAACAAGACCCCAAGATAAATAAACTCCTCCACTTGGAGCGATCACTCTATCCTTTGCCAGCTGAGAACCAACAGACTTGGAGGCGCTAATTTGCATCCCATCTGGTTCACACTCGATCACAGGCCGCCCCATTTTTAGACTCGAGGTCATCGCTCAGTAACGCTGACAAGACCAAAACCAAATACTAATAGGAAAAAGGCACAAGAAAATATACAGCATAAGAAAATCTAGCGTATCATATTTGGGTCTTCCATCCATCCATCCATTTTCATCCGCTTTGTCCGGGGCCGGGTCGCAGGGGCAGCAGCCTAAGCAAAGCATATTTGGGTCTTGCCACGCCCAAATACAACTTCAAAAGTGTATTTTTTTTTTTTTTTTTGTAAGGACTTCACCAAGTGACCTGACAGCCTCGATACCCACAAACCACAGTCTCCATCAGCCCATCGATATAAAGTGTCTGGCTACAGAGGAACTCTCAACCTGATTTGTGGGACATGATAGTTTTTTCTTGGTGACTCAGTTACCAAAGGCCAGAGTCCCACCCTGGTGCTGGAAAAATGAAGCAATAAAATACAAGATTACTGTCAACTCAAAGTGTAAATATGTGTTGGTGATCCTGCTATGTTCTTCGTAGTTGCAGATCACTGTTGTCTTAATTTTCAGCATTTTTATCCAAATGTTGCACATGCTGTCGTATTTGGTGATTGTGTTTTTCTTGGCTCACTTGTGTCCTGTGCACTCAGGGCCACCGTAGAGAAAATTAGTCAAATCAGTTGGGAGCAGACAGCAAACGAGGGCAGAATGTGGAATTGTTGTTGCTGGCTTCAAGCCTCTCAAAATTAAACCGTTTTGTCAAGCTACAAAACGTATAGCATGCTATAGGGGGTCATGGAAATGTGAGTGAAAGAGAAACAAAGACATCGAAAACCACTGGGAAAGTGTGCTTGATCCCCTCCATTACCAGTAGCTCAGGCCTGCAGTTAGACTGATGCATCTGCTTTCTTTGATAGCATCTCTCGCTTCCTGTTGTCGGTAAAGACTTGCTCTTGACTCTGATTCCTTCCATCTGGCTGTCAGAGCTGCACGCCATGTAACAGAATTGGACAAACAACCTACAACTGCCGTCATATTTCAAAAACACTAGCAGGGTGGGAAATATGCGAGATGAATGTGTGCATGTGCAGCATCTGTATTTTGATTTGTAGCCCTCACCTGTGTTGTTTCTGCTGAACAGGAAGGTTAAACGGTCCATTACACTTATTTCCTTCATCCTTGTTTAAATCAGTTAGCTGATCTCTTCCACGGTAGACCTGTTTTGCTTGTTCTAATTTGATAACGCTGCATTTTATCTTTTTTTTTTTCTTTTTTTTTCTTCTGTTTTTTGTGTGTGCCCACAGATCGAGAGGCGGCTGGAGCTGGTTCGTTTGGTGTCTCACAACACGCACAAGAGGCTGGTGTCCTGTCTGCAAGGTCAGCTGGGCACAGACACAGAGAAGAGACATGTAAGAGGCACCTTTTCTTTTCTTTTTTTTTTTCTCTGTCAGATTCATTCCATCATTTAGCTTTTTCATTTTCACTTTTTCATCCCATCATTTTAGCAACATGCCACACTTTGGATATGGCTTCATTTACAAGAGCATAATTAGGATGAATCACTGTGACAGCCATTCTGAACTAGGGCCCTGCTATCATGTGTTTTTCTTATGTAACACATAGATATGACAGAGACTCTCCTTCCAGCTTCACTATCACCATTCAGCAGACCCAGCCCAAAGGCCAATAAAACTGATGCAACTCTGAAGGAATCCCTGTTACGTTGTCATACTTTGATTACTCTTCTAAATTAAGTCATCTTGATGGTGCAGTGTTTGGCACTCCTGCAGGCAAAGTGAAATTAACAGATAAGCCAACGTGGTTGGATCAGTTGTCCTTAAACTGTTGGGTAGAGCCACAGCAGGCAGGGTATAGATAATGAAGGGGAGAAAAAAAATTAGCTGAAGCTAAGCTGAATTGGGGAGGGGGTTGTCTACATGTTTCCTTGATGCTGTAAGACCTGCCCTTATATCCCCCTTTTTTCAAATTCATATTTAAGTTAAATATATGACGTATTTGGTATTTTGGTGTTTGTGCAACTAATTTGAGTCGGATCCAAATCAGAAAAGAAAACATGTCAATGAAGTGAACGTTATTAAGTAGACTGAGCTGCTTTCTTTCTTTTTCCCTTGTAGAAAAAGCTGCCCTTGACCGGGCTGTCCCAGACCATGCAGGAGGGCGGCAGTCAGCTTGGAGAAGAGGGTTTGATTGGGTGAGTTTCCATCGAAAGACCAGTTTCAGCATCGTTTAAGTTGAAAATATCACCTTTAAATGGGCAAAATTGGTGAACAAGTAAGTGTTTATCAAGATCAGTGTAAAAGTATTTAAATAAAAAGGGGATGTGGGATCTAGCTGAAGCTCTTTACATATGTTTTACTCGCTGTGAGGAAAAGTAGTGATAACTGGGATATTTGCATATATGTCTCTGTGCACGTGAACAGCAAGATGATGGATGTGTGTGGCGAAGCCGAGGGCAAGTTGGCTTTTGAGCTGCTGCAGCATGAAATGCAGATGGAGAAAGACATTCTGGATCCTCTCAACCAGCTGGCAGAGGTAAAAGCTCATGCATACAACCATTGATTGGCTTCTTCCTTTTAATCCCTTTAAAATCATGCGCTATATTATAAAAACAAAGACCCAGCAGCAGAGACATCAAGCTGAACTTTGTGTTTGTGCCAAATTCAACGATGCCTTTAGCACTGTTTTGGGTTCATTGCTATTCTGTATCTTTAAAATTGACACAAGGTTCTCACAGGAAAATTGCTCAAAAGTGCTCATTATACCTTTTGCAGTGCATGTGTAGTCATGTCGTTCTCATGGTTCCTCTTGTTTCTCTCACAGGTAGAGATTCCCAACATACTGAAACAGAGAAAGCAGCTTGCTAAGCTGGTTCTCGATTATGACTCTGCTAAAACACGGTACATTTCCACACAGCCTGATAACAATTTTTTTTAAAAAAATTTTTTATTAATAGTCTTTGTATGGCTCCAATCTTTCAAATGTTTCCACTAACATGGTTACTTAAATAATCCTTTGTTCTGCAGGTGGTTACAGGCGACCAAGTCCACCAATCCAGCCATGGCAGCTAAAGTTGACTCGCTCAAAGACGAGATGGATGAGGCACTCAATAAAGTAGAAATATGCAAGGTAGATTTCATGTCGACTCTTTCCCATGAGGCTTGCTGCATAAGGTTAGGATCATATTTGATGAACTGGCTGAACAAAGAAGGCTTTATAAGGGGGACTAAATCAGGACACTGATGCTATGCACATTTTTGGACCGAGTAATTAAAGCTCATAGCTTTGTCATATCCATGTCTTCGTGAACAGTTTCTCATTGTTTACCATACACGTCATTCTTTTGTCATTTCATGCAGGACCAGCTCTCTGCAGACTTGTACAACTTTGCTTCTAAAGAGGGAGACTATGCACGCTATTATGTGATGGTGAGTGCACCTCAGTTTACTGGTAATGGAAATGCAAATATGGAACGTTCCACTGTAACACAGTTACTAGGCGATGTGTGATAACCAAGTACTATGTTCACATTAGATTTGGTGTATGTGATTTTGTGTGTGTGTTTCTGTATAACAGTTATTAGAGACCCAGGCAGAGTACCACAGGAGGTCTCTGGCAGCTCTGGAAGTAGTTATACCCACCATCCAGACACAGCAAGGTGAACAATAAGACACAAAACATATTATTAAACATGTAAATAACATAAAAACTTTGCTTCTTCTTTTTGTTGCTGATCTGCTGGTTTAGGGTTAGAGAAATAAAGAGTGGCTTGTCATCCTGCTTAACAGTTCTCACAAAGGACTTCACATTATAATTGTTTATTTTGTGGTCCCTTAGCAGGGTGTGCTGTTATAAATTTTGCAGGTTTTCTGTCTTATTGGCTGGTATATATCACAGACTGGTGTGTGTGGGTGTGTGTGTGGGTGTGTGTGTGGGTGTGTGTGGGTGTGTGTGTGGGCCTCAAACTGTTGAATTTGTTTATGACAAGAAGCTTTTATCTCATTTGCGAAGTGCACAGCTTATTGCAACATAGTGAAACGACTCACTACAATTACATCGTCACATTAGAGGGTTTTTTGGGCTTTTTTTTTAAGTGTGTTTATATGAACCTTAGAATCAGCTTTCTGATGTAATCTGATTATAGATTTATTATTTGTTTGGCCCAGATTTATCCGGATGAAAGCCAGGATAACCGGATTTCAAGTTGGCTTTTTACATGTTTTCATGCACATGACAAAAGAGCAATCGTATCACACAAACATACCTGCAAAGACTTCATTTAAAAGTCTAAATAAAGAATGTGGTATTCCTGTTGTCAGCTGTAGAACTATATAAAAATTGTTGAAAGCCATGAAGTTAACTGCAGACAGTTAGTGAAACGAGTGCCAACGCAGAACATTGCCGATGCTTGTCTCACCTAGACTCCTGGATAGAGAAGCCGGCATTTGGCACGGCGCTGGAGGAGCATCTGAAAAGGACCAACCGTGAGATCGCTCTGCCGATTGAGGCCTGCGTCATGATGCTGCTTGAGACCGGCATGAAGGAGGAGGTATGGATGGAGAGATGGAAGAAGAAAATTGGAGACTTTGCTAAAGTAGGGCAAAGTTGAGGTTTAATTGACCAGAATTTGGATTAAATTTGTACCCATAAACCTCCTGTGTGTTTGAACTGGAAGGATATGTGGGTCATGTGGACTGCGTTTTAAAAATGATGGCATGTAAAGTCTGGAAACATCTGTAGCCAACTTGAGGTTAGCCAGTCTTTGTCCTGTGGGAATAAAACCTCTGTGTGTGTGCACACACAGGCATCTGTTACCCATTAGTATGATCGCTGTTGCACTCTTGAATTGAAACAGTATCACTAGACTCCCCATGAAGTACGATTCAAGACATTTCTAAATGGAAACAAACCTCTTCTTGCTGTGCATCCGTCTGGTGCTCATCCTGAAAGAGTCACATCTCTGTTGATAGCAAAAGCATTTCTCTTTACTTTTGCAGACATTCAGTACTCGATTGCATTACTTCTTCTTTTGTGTTACCAACCCAGACTCACTTCTTTAATTTTAGGAGAGAAACAGCCTCCTGTAACCAGGCACTGCTGTGACCTTGCTCTCCCTTATTTTCTTTTCAGGGTCTATTTAGAATTGCTGCTGGAGCTTCAAAATTGAAAAAGTTGAAAGCAGCGCTGGACTGCTCCACCTCACAGCTCGAGGGCTTCTACTCTGATCCCCATGCCGTGGCTGGTACTACTTCTACAAATCCACAGAAATTAAAAACATCAGCTCCAGGTCTTTGTCTCATGGCATATATTTTGTTTTTGATACACAGGAGCTCTCAAGTCCTACCTCAGGGAACTTCCTGAACCTCTAATGACATTTAGCCTTTATGATGAGTGGATACAGGCCTCCAAGTAAGACACTGCACACAAAGACATGACTCCTGTAATGTCCTGTAAAACACTTTTGCAGCACTAATAAACTTTAGATTCATGTGAAGTATGTTTGCAGTAAATGTTGTTAATGTTTCAGTACCTTAGACTCTGACAAAAGACTTCAGGCCTTGTGGGTGACATGTGACCATTTGCCAAAGGCCCACAAAGCCAACTTCAGGTACTCTATATTACTCTCTTTTAATTACTATCATTTATGCCAGCCTTTTTTTTTTTTTTTTTAAATAACGCTGTTTTTTTTATTTGCTTTTTAAATGTAACCTTTTTTGTACATGTTTATTCATGTGAGGAATTCACCAGATTTTGAGCCATCCCTCATTTCTTTATATATTGCCAGAAAAATGGAAAATTGGAGCTGTAATTAGCAAAAGATAAAGATATCATCATTATTCTTGAACAGTTCAGTCTGTGCTCTCTGAGAGTTCTTTTTTTTGCCATTAAGTAGTCTTCAGGAATACTTCTTGAAGGACATTCAAAGCTCTTCTTTTGATGCTGGCTGCCTTTTGTTCTGTTCTGTCAACATGATGTCTGTGTTGAGGTCCAGGCTCTGGAGAGATCAGTCCATAGTTACACTGTGTTTGTTCTATCCAGGTGTGGTTTTCCTGCATTGGCAGCAGGTTTGAGATGATTGTTATACGGAAAAATTAAGCCGTTGGCATTTGGGCACTTTTCAGATGGTATTGCATGTTGGATCAAATCTGACAGTGCTTTTTTTTTTTTTTTTTTTTTTTTTGTATAATTCAATTTTGGCAAGATCTCAAACACCACAGGCTAAAATGCGGGGCTTCAAACCACAACAGATTTTGCAGTGGATTTTTAAGTGAATTTCTTGTATAATTTGGCATACCTCCACATATTCCTCTAGTTTGCCTTTTTTAAGCTTCTTGAAACCCACCCCACTTCCACTGAGACCATTTCTGATGAGACTTTAATGGACAGAAGGTGAATCAAATGAATGGGACAGATGCATCGCTCAGATGCTGCATCAGGTCTAAAAACTCTGCTGGATTTTTTTATTTTTTTAAGTAAATAGCTCTTTGAGAATCATCTTTTTGGTTAAACAATGGGAATAAATTGCCTTTGCAAAAGGCTGCTGGTAACAAATTGGCTCTACAGTTACAGCTTCTTTGTTAGGTGCAAACACAAAAGTGGTTGTTTCTGTGAGTTAAACACCTTCTTTATTTCCCCTTTTTTCTATGTCAGACTGGTTCAGGAGTCAGAGTTAAGTGGTTTAATACGCTTAACAAAAAATGAGTGGAAAAAATCGCAACATTAATTTAATTTAAAAAATGACAAGAACATCTGGCTCCTTGAGAGCAAAATACTTAGAAATGAGGGTTGGCTCAAGACTTTTGCACAGCACTGTAGATGGAAAAATAGGTGCGTATTTCACCACTGTACCAGATGTTACTTTGATGCTCTAGTAAACCAGTTTCCTGGTTGAGCCTCTCAGGCCACATTCACAGCAAGGCCGTAACTTTCTCGAGGAGTCAGAAGCCCACTAGGTTGGGGACAGTGTATGATTAAAGGTGGGAAAAATATTTTGGAGATGTCTTTGTTTTTTAAGGCAGTTTGTGTCTCCGTTGCAGGTATCTGGTGAAGTTCTTGGCTAAACTGGCTCAGGACAGTGATGTTAATAAAATGACTCCCAGCAACATCGCTATAGTCCTGGGGCCTAACCTGCTGTGGTCGAAGACCGAAGGGTGAGCATGTCGTGGACTGTTCACCTCACTTTTATGTCATTATTCTAAAATGCAAAGCGCGTCGTTCTCTTAGGCTGACTGACCTTCCTCCCGTTCTTATCTCCGTCTCTGTGCTCGTACTCAGGACGCTGGCAGAGATGGCAGCAGCTACATCTGTGCATGTACTTGCCATCATTGAGCCTATTATCCAACACGCTGACTGGTTCTTCCCTGAAGGTGAAACACTGTTGTTGTATTTGCAATAATTCTCCTTCTCTCTGTCTGTTGTCTGCTGTTTGGCGTGCTTATTCTCGATGATATAATCTGCCTGAACCTTTGCAGCGTGTGGTAATGCGTCCGTTGAGTGCTGCTGCAAAAGATAACATTTGCATAAATTTCCATTGTTGATTTGTGGAGTTTGCCAGCACTTAGTTTTCATGTAACAATGTTAACGCGCAGGCTCATCCTCTGTGGGTTGACAGTGGGTACTTTGAAAAATATTGAAGCTCATTAAATTGATGAATAGTAGCTAAAACGGTTTCTCTCCACATTAGCCAGCAAGGCTAAGAGTCTGCAGCCATGCTCGTGGCTCTGTAGGATGTGGCTGAAGCTCAGAGCACATTGTTAACCAAATTCTAAAATTAGCATGCTTGTGCTGATTTTACCCAGTTCACTATCAAAGCTCAGCTTTAAGTTGTTATGATGATGAAATCCCCAACTATTATTCAGTTGTGGTTTCTATAATGAATTTACTCTGTAACAGCTGAGCAGAGGGTGCATTTTTAAAATAACTTTACTGAGCCTTAAAGAAAAGGATGCAGAGTCTGTAGGTATCTGCTAGTCCTCAATTTTGCTAACTTGAGTGACTAATCTGGACCTTTTGACTCTAGTTTTGAGTATTTTTAATTAAATTATCTGGAGAAAAAAGGCTTATTGTGTGTTACTCTAGTTTCAGTGAGGGAAATTGTAGTATTCTGTTTGTGTGTTGGTTGGCACTTATTAGCTGGTAGGTGTATAAGTTATACACCTGTACGGTCTCCTAGAGTCAGCTGATTATAGCACACTCTACCGTCTCTTGAAAATATCATGGCTCCAAGTGGCCAGTGAGTGATGTCACAGAGGCTTTGTGCATCTTTTGTATACAGTCTTCTTGCAAGCTGTAGGTCATTTTTAATTTGCTTAATTTGCTTCTGTCCTCCAGAGGTGGACTTCAACGTGTCAGGCATGTTCTCCTTGCCCAGCCATCCACCCACCCCGGACCCCGAACCTATCCTGGACAGGAAACGCCCCGGCAGCATGGGGCAGGACGGGGACAGTCACACCCCTCGTAAAGACAGGTACCTGTCTCGTCCCAACCTCAGCCTCAGCCTGCCCCTCACCCTGCCGTCCCGTCCCAAGACACTGAGCAGGCAGGAGTCGAGGGGCCCAGCGGTGTCGGCCCTTTATGTCGTGGCCAACGAGTCCATCACGGTCACTGAAACGCCCACTGAAGATCTGCCCAGTCCAGACTTCAAGGCTGTGCCGCAGTCTAACGTAGATCCCACGAATCCAGTTACTAATAAGTGAAATAAGGGAAATGATGCTTTGTGTGATTTGTGCACTACATTTGTTGTGTTTTAAGCTAATCAGTTATATTTTGCTGAGATTCGTCCGTAACATGACCATAACATTTATGAAACACAAAGCCTTTTTAATAATGTTTGGGAATCCATTTATGTCTCAAGTTTTTATTTCTCTTGTGTTACTGTTGTGTACTCTTGTGTTATCTCCTTAATTTCCAATTAAAGCTTAGGTTGCACTGTAGGTTGCTGGTTTTATGTTTTGCGTGGGCTTGCATTTTTGTCATCTTTTTTTTTTTTTTTTTTTTCTATTTCACCTGTCGCCGCATTAATGTTGCAGTTCAAAGTTGTTCTATTTTAAAGGTCACTCATGTGGTTTTATGTCCTCTTTGGGTTCTTCTTTCTGAACCGGTTTCGTTCCACTCAGGAAGTGGCGTCTCTTTCTGTCTCGACATCACAACATCTCTCACTGCTCTCGCTGGGTTCTTTCGAGGGGGTTTTTGTTTTTGTTTGTCGTTTTTGTTTACTTCTGTCTCTGAGTCTCTTGCTCCTTCACTCTTGTCTGATGGCCTGTGGTTTGCCCTCCTGAACACTCTCCCCTCTCCCCCCCTCCCTAGCCCTGTTAACAAACAGCCGGAGCCCGCTCCTCGCAGAACCAGCGTCTTAAATAGAAAGCAGTCACCACTAACCTCACCCACCTTCCAACCCCCATTACCCCCTCTGGAAGCCGGGACTCCTACACAGCTCGAACCCCATCCTCCTCCTCCTCCTTCAGAGGCTGAGCAGCCTGGCTTGAGTGTTGCTGGCAGTGGTGGTGGTGGTGGTGGTGGTCTGGTTGGTGGGGTCCAGGTAGCCACAGTGCAACATCAGGTTGTAACCCAGCTCAGCACAGAGGAGAGCAGGTAAGGAGTGAGCTGAGGTAGCACCGGTACTCCACTGCAGCCAATCATCCGATCCGGAGCTCGCCACCCTTTGTTTGCCATGTATTTGATTAATTTGATTTACTGGACGTCACAAAAAAATCATGAGCATAAAACTGTCTATAATGTCTGCAAGTATTAAATCTGCTTCATTAATTAATAATGTAAATAAATGAAAAACACTGTTATGCTTTGCACAACTTTCCCCCTGCCCTCTGTTTGTGATGATCAACAGAACTCTCGGTTTCTGTTTATAAAGAGAAGCTGTCTTTCCTTCCTGTCTGCTCGTCTGTTTGGTGGTTTAACAACTTTGAAGCTTTGAAGACTTTGTTTTTATGCATGTGTCTCATTACTGAACACTTGTTCCGTCCGCTGAATGGACTTCTTTCATGATTTTTGCATCCCGTGCTTTCTTCGTGCGTTTATCGATCCTTTTGAGTCATTCTTTCTGTAATAACCTAATCAAGTATAATTATTCTTTGAATGGAAAGGTGTGCAGTTGGTTTTATGCATGAGCACTGGTGCTGCACTTGATCCTTGAATGTTAAGGGTGTATGACACGGAAATGGATTAATAATTGGAACTGTGGTGTTTTCACAGCCCGGCCCGTGAGCACATGTCCACCCTGCCTCCGCAGAGGAATGGTTCAGCGGGCCATCTCGCTGTAGGAACCCCACACCCTCAGGGAAGCTCCAAAGGGCCTAGTCCACACATGGTCCGCAGAGGTGAGGAAATCTAAATCTGCTATTTTAGTGGTTTAATATAGCAAATGAGATTTAATAAGTACGTTTTCCTCTGAAGGCACCAAGAAGCAAGCCCCAGCCCCACCCAAACAGGCCAGCCCGTTCGCCTCTCAGCTCAGTAACACCCAAGCACCCGGTTCCCCGCAGCACCCACCCATCACGCCCCGTCGTGTCCACAGCAAAGATGCCCTAATCCAAGCTCCGAGCCATCCACCCCCACAGCCGCCTACACCCCAACAAGCCCAGGGAGAGTCAGAGCACTCTCCCCCTAGCAGTCCCACCCCTCCTGACACTCCGCCGCTCTTCCACTCCGGATCTCTCCCTCGACCCTCGAGGCCAGCTCCAAAACCGAAACCCCGTCCCAGCATGCCACCGCCTCCGCAACCGGCAGCAAATGACAGCGGCAATGACATGTTCAACTCGGCCTCAAAGATCATAACAGGTAAACCAGTCTGTGTCTCAGTTTCTTTTTTTTTTTTGTATAAAATTTATATACTATACTAAAAATATTTTATACTAAAATACAAATACAAAGGTTTGCATCATCGACTTAAATGGTGTCAGCAATACAGTGTGGCAGAAATCAACTACTGCAACAAAAACATTGCTAAAATAAGTTGTATGTGTACATACAAAGCTTTAACCTCTAAACAGAGTAATCGTTGATTTGGCCACTTTTGCAGTGCAGTGGTTGCAAAGATGTGATTTTCTTTTTTTATATATATATATTTTTTTAAATTTCTTAATTTATTTTTTGTTAACTTTAAAAACTCCACATAAGGGTTGTGCATTCGAAGAGCTACCAAGAAAAAATACAAGAGTACAGAAGAATATGCAAATTAAATAACAGTACGGTGATAAATTTGATGTGACCCCAGATAATAAACCACATGATCATTTCTTATTCTTGATTTATTATGTAAATAACTGTAATGCAGTTGTAAAATGGATTTCAATGGGATCATGAATTATAATGGTGTGAAAGTGGGAAGTAAAACTACAGTGCAGTACAAATATTGAAATGTATATCTGCTAAAATGACCTCCGAGTAATGGTGAAGTATCATTTTAACTTAACATCTGACCACTTCCACCATGGTTACACTCCACCTTTGAAAACAATATAGATAAAAGGCAATTGTTGTTTATTCAGACAAGTTTTTGAAGGAAGTTACCAGATCTACTGAAGAATAGAAGCTTTCTTTGGTGTGTTTTTTGTTTAAATGATTTTCTTTGTGCAGACATTCCCATTATTGAACTCACTCACTTGCTGGCCGTCTGCTGGTACTATATTCACTTCTGTTATTGAGTGATTTCAGCTTCTTCTCGGAGCAGTGCTATATTTAGCTCAGTGGCTTTTGGTTTCACTGTCTCATTTTTGGCTCACACACTTACAAAAGAGCTGTGGTGATCTGATGCATGACGGCATATGTGTAAATATTGCAGATGTCTGAGCTGCGGGCCTGCCTGTAAGATGAGCTTTGTAAGGCAGGTAATGGTAAGGATCTGATTGGCTGATGCATTAACCTCGGTCTGTGTCTACTGCATGTGCATCTGTCTGGGGGAGAGAAAAGTGGCGTGTGTGGGCGTGCACATATACATTTATATGTAGGCTTGGTGCTTTTGTCCTAGGCTTTAGCTATGCTTTGCAACAACACTAACATGCTTGCAATTTTTTGTATTTGTGCTTACTAACACAG